TGTTTTGAGAGAGAGAGGGAGAAAGAGAATCTTGAGCAGATTCGCCTGAGCACAGAGCCCAACATGAGGCTCAATCTCACAACTCTGAGATCATGACCTGAGCCAAACTCAAGAGCTGGAGGCTTAAAAAAAAATAAAATAAAGAAAAGAAAAGAAAAGAAAAGAAAAGAGAAAAGCAAAGAAAAAGGGGGCACCTCGGTGGCTCAGTTGGTTGAGTGTCTATCTTTGGCTCAGGTCATGATCCGGGTGTCCTGGGATCAAATCACACGTTGGGCTCCGTGTTCTTTAGGGTGTCTGCTTCTCCCTCTGTCCATCTCCCCCAACTTGTTCTCTTAATCTCTCTCTCACTCTTTCTCAAATAAATGGGTAAAATCTTTAAAAAAATAGAATTGGAGGCTTAACCAACAGAGACACCCAGGCATCCTATATAGTTTTATTTAACAATTTTTGTTAGTTTTTTTTTCAAAGAACCAGCTCCTGATTTCATTGATTTGTTCGTTCCTTCCTTCCTTCCTTCCTTCCTTTCTTTCTTTTTCTGTATCATTTATTTCTGATCTAATCTTTATTATTTCTTTCCTTCCTTCTATTTTTTGGTTTTGTTTATTGCTCTTTTTCTAGCTCCTTTAGGTATAAGGTTAGGTTGTTTATTTGAGATATTTTTGCCTTTTGTGGTAGGCCTGTATTGCTATAAACTTCCCCCTTAGAAGAGCTTTTTCTGCCTCCCAGAGGTTTTGGACCATGTGTTTTCATTTTCATTTGTTCCCATGTACTTTTGGATTTCTTCTTTGATTTCTTGGTTAACCTATTAATCGTTTAGTAGCATGTTATTTAACATCCTTTTATTTGTCATCTTTCCATATTTTTTTCTTGTGTTTGATTTCTAGTTTCAGTGCATTGTGATCAGAAAAGCTGCATAGTATGACTTTGATCTCTTTGAACTGTTGATACTTGTTCTGTGGCCCAATATGTGATCTATTCTGGAGAATGTTCCATGTACACCTGAAAAGAATGTGTATTTTGATATTTCAGGGTAGAATGTTAAAATATATATCTCTTAAATCTACCTGGACCAATGTGTCACTCAATGCCATTGTTTTCTTACTGATTGTCTGATTGAATGATCTCTCCATTGATGTAAGTGGAGTGTTAAAGTCCCCTACTATTATTGTATTACTATCAATTAATTGCCTTATGTTTGTTATTAACTGCTTTATGTATTTGCATGCTCCCATGTAGGGTGCATAAATATTTACAATTGTTATATCTTATTAGATTACCCCTTTTGTTACTATATATGGTCCTTCTTTGTCTCTTGTTCCAGTCTTTGTTTTAAAATCTATATTGTCTGGGGTACCTGGCTGGCTCTTTCAGTTGAGTGGCTGCCTTCGGGTCAGGTCCTGATCCTAGGGTGCTGGGATCGAGCCCCACATTGGGCTCCCTGCTAGAATGGGAGCCTGCTTCTCCTCTCCCTGCCACTCTGCCTACTTGTACTCTCTATCTGTCTGTCAAATAAATAAATAAAATCTTAAAAAAAAAAATATATATATATATATTTATGTATATGTTGTCTGATGTAAGCATTGCTATTCCAGCTTTATTTTGATACTCATTTGCATGATAAATATTCCTCCATCCCCTCACTTTCAATCTGCAGGTGTCTTTAGGTCTGAAATGAGTCTCCTGTAGGCAGCATATAGATGGGTCTTGTTTTTTATCCATTCTGTCATCCTAAGTCTTTTGCTTGGAGTATTTAGTCTGCTTACATTCAAAGTAATTATTGATAGATATGTATATATTGCTATTTTGTTACTTATTTTGTCTTTGTTTCTGAGGTTTTTTTCCTGATCCTTTCGTCTTTCATAATTTGTTGGTTTTCTTAGTGATACATTTGGATTTTGTTGTTTTTTGTATATCTATTACTGGTTTTTGATTTGTGGTTACCATTAGGTTTGCGTATAACATCTACATATAGCAGTCTATATTAAGTTGATTATTGTTTAAGTTTGAACACGTTCTTTAGTCCTCTCCTTCCCACATTTTGGGTATATGGTGTCATAATTTACATCCTTTTATTTTGTGAATTCCTTGACTGACTTTTTTATAGAAATATTTGTTTGTACAGCTTTTGTGTTTCCTGCCTTTGGTACTGTCACTTTTGGTCTTTTCTTTACACTCAAAATGTCCCTTTTAATATTTCTTGTAGGACTGGTTTAGTGGTCATGAACTCCTTTAGTTTTTATTTGTCTGGGAAACTCTTTATCTTTCCTTCTATTCTGAATTTTAGCCTTGCTGAATAGAGTATTCTTGGCTACAGATTTTCCCCATTCAGCACTTTGAATATTTCATGCCACCCTTTTCTGGCTTGCAAAGTTTCTACAGAAAAATCCACTGATAGCCTTGTAGGGTTTCCCCTATATGTAACTGTCTACATATGTCTTGATGCTTTAAATTTTTTTTCTTTATCACTACATTTTACCCACTTAATTACAATATGTCTTAGTGTGGATCTCCTTTTTAAAATTTTTTAAAAGATTTTATTTATTTATTTGACAGGCAGAGATCACAAGTAGGGGGAGAGGCAGGCAGAGAGAGAGAGGAGGAAGCAGGCTCCCTGCTGAGCAGAGAGCCTGATATGGGGCTTGATCCCAAGACCCTGGGATCATGACCTGAGCTGAAGGCAGAGGCTTTAACCCAATGAGCCACCCATGTGCCCCTCCTTTTTAAAATTTTAAAAAAATTTTCTTAAAAATTTTAATTTTGTTGGGTGTTCTCTGTGCCTAATGGATCTGAATGTCTCTTTCCCTCCTCAGATTAGGGAAAATTTCAGCTATTTCTTCAAAGAAATTTTCTGTCCCCTTTTCTCTCTCTTGCTTCTGGGATCCCTATAATATGAATGTTATTATGTTTGATGGAGTCACTGAGTTCCTTAAGTCTATTCTCGTTTTGCATAAGTCTTTTTACTCTCTTTTGTTCAGCTTGATTACTTTCCTTCACTCTGTCCTCTATTCTTTTCTCAAGTCCAGTGGATATCTTTATGACCATTACTTTAAATACTCCTTCAGGCATGTTACTTACATCTGTATCTTAGATCTTTGACTGTGGCCTTATCCTGTTCTTTCAATCTGGGACAAACTCTTCTCATTCTGTCTTCTCTTTGTCTTCTCATTTTGTCTATTCCTGTTTCTCTGTGTTAGAAAAGTCAGCTACATCTCCCTTGAGATGTTCTTGAGGTTAATAGCCTTATGAAGAAGAGTCCTATAGTGGCCTGTCATGTACTGTGTCCTATTCCACAGGGCCTGGCACTTCAGGGAGTGTCTCCAATGTGTGCTGCATGCCCTCTGCTGCTTTTTCCTGGCCACGTCATCCTTTAGGCCAGTTGTCTGCTGAGGCTCTCTTTGCCTATTTTGGGCAGTGTTTTGTCCCTTGCCTGAATGTGGTGCACTTTGACTAAGTGTATTCTGCTTTTGAAATGAGACTTGTCACCACTACCATTGGCACTGAGACCCTGAAAAACTCCCAGATTGGGAGATGTGGTGTTGACAGGGGTTTAGGCGATTCTTCTGGGGGAGGAGATCCACTGTACTGGGACCATGGCAGACGTGGCTGGGATAGTGGGTTCCACTGACATATGGGGGACTGGGGCAGAGCTTGGTATAAGCAAGTTAGGTAGAGAGTGTCCAAGTGGCACTGGTTCCTGAAGATGGCCCTGTGCTTATGTAAAGGAAATGGTCCTTGTCAGTTCCTTTGTTCCCAGAGGGGTCTCTCTGTGAACACATCCTCTCTGGGACACACTCCAAGATGAGCAAATAACCTCCCCACTATGTGCTCCAGGCACTCTTTGGATTGTTGTTCACATGCTGTATCTCTGCAGGCTGCTTGCCCTGCCTTGTCTCCTGGTGTAGCCCCAGTGATCTTGGAGCTCTCCCTGAACCAGGCACACTGACCTTTAAAACTCTAGGCTTTAAGCCCCACTAGTTGCAAGAATTCATGAAATTCAGCCCCTCTTGCTTTCTAAGCCAATTGGTATGGGGATTTGTGTTCCCCGTGTGGGCTACCCTATGTACTAGTCTGTCTCTCACCCTTCTTTAAGACTGTAGCACTCTCCTCATTACATTGGCCACCACCCATTTCTCTCCCAAACAATGTCTCCACATTTCCTGCCTTCCTTGATGTGGGCTTTTGTCTACCTTTAGTTGTGGAGTTTGTTCTGCCAGTCTTCAGCTCGATTTCTGGGGGGTATTTAGGGATTTGATAGTTAGCTAGTTGTATTTGAGGGATGAAGTGAGCCTGGTGTCCTCCTACTTCATTGCCATCTTCCCCATCTCTGATTTACTCCTTAATTCAAACTTGCATGTATGCACAGTTTTCCTTGTTTTGAGCTTTTCATGCTGCAGAAAAATAAGCTTTTGTTTGACAGGAATAAACAAAGCCTCCAGTTGGGGGTCTACCATATTCCTTGGTTTTTGAGGTTGAGTCCAAAGGAGCATACAGACCTTTATCCCAATCAAATATCAGCATGAAAATTCCCTGGCCAACAGGGTATCAGATCCCTCTTTCTTTTTCTAGAAATGTGGCAACCTATCACTTAATGAAGCAGAGATCTTTGTTTCTCCACATTTGAGTTCAGCATTGCTTTATATCCATGTAGAATAATCAAATTAAATGGTTTCTCACCAATTTAGAAATAATGCTGGTGCTCATGATAAGATACTTGGAACAATTTATTTAGCATTTCTTTTTCCCACACAAACCCACAGGGAACTCCGACCACTTTTTAACTTTCTTAAAAAAATAAAATCTTAAAAAACAATATTTTACCCAGATCTTTACATGACTAGTTCTCCCTCCTCCAATATTTTCTCCTCCCTTTCATCCTATTTGCCTATTTTACCTAGAATTTCTATTTGACACAGGATATCTTGAATACAATTAATAACAAAAAAGGAAAATGTTCACCTTTCCTGTGTGTATCTTACTCATTATGACCTTGTAATTCCTAGACTCTGCTGGCTAATGCCAAGGGGCTGGAGAGGAGATCAGTGAAGACTTCAGATGTCACCCAGGCCAAGGAGGAACTGAGGGTGATGGTGGCAGCCACCAAAGCAGCCATGGAGCATAATGACAAGTAAGAGTTAACAGTCTGATTTGATTTATATTGGGATTATATTATTTTATAATATTTTAAAACCATGTGACAAGCATATATATTTACATTTTTTTCTGCACTGTTGGGGAAGGCACTTTGCCTGTACTAATACCCTGTCATCTGGCCTCTTTCACAAGCCATTACATGTGTTACTAGGAAATTCAACCAAATCTGGTGTTTGTATGGGAAGGAGAGGATGGTTTGGGATGTTCTCTGAAGACATCTTATCTTTGTATAAGATGGGGATTTGTCAGCTGCTTTGTATAAGCAGGTGACACTGCTGCAAAGTCAAGATACCTTTCATGAATGATCTTATTATGTTTTTAACTTTAAAAAAATCTTTTAAATTTTCTGTGTAGTCTTTCAGATGAAATCACAATTGGATAGGGCATATATTTTATAGAGGATTTAAAGATTGAAGCAGAGCCAACACACCCAAAATATCATTAAGAAAACAAAATAAGAAACAAAAACCCAAAAGACACAACCATGCTTTCAGTATAAGTAGAAGACAAAAAGCCACCAAACTTCAAAATACTTGTAATTAGAAAAATACACTTCAAATGCCAGTGAATCATTATCTACTCTCTTTCTGCAAACCTTGGTGAGAGCAAGGGAAGTGGGGGAAGAGAGAAGAGTGGAGCTGGTTGAAGGCCTATCATGTTCTAAAATTAGTTCCAGAGAGAGAGAGAGAGAGAGGAAGAAGTGGGAGGGGAACAGAGAGAGGAGGGAGAGAGAAAGAGGGAGAAGGGGGAAGTCCTGAGAGAGGGGGAGGGATGGAGAAGGTGAAGGAGGGTGGAAAGGGGAGGGAAGGTATAGGAAGAGAGAGAGAGAAGGGTGAAAGAGGGTGGGGGGAGGGAGGGAGGGAGAGAGAGCAACTTTCCTAAATAATACCACAGAGTTTACTGGTCTGTCTATCAGAGCACTGACTTAGATGGAAAGGACTTTGAAGTGAGCATAGAAGCAAGGAACACTACTGAAATGATAATGATATGGTGGGAAGAGCTTTAAAAGGAAGTGATCAGCATTCTTTAGAACTGTGCATTGAAGAGAAAAAGAAGCAAGGGAGGGGAGTTTAGAATCCCATAAAAGAAAAAAATTGAAGGGCACATGACCCTTTCACTACTGTTCTTTCTTTCCTCAAAAAAAAAAAAAATTTGTCCAGTAAAAAATTCAAAATAAAACGCCCTAAAATAGGAACAAAAGCATACTTTGCTATTCTGACAAAAATGTGTTCTCCTGAATTAGGAACCTCACACACTCCCCAAACTGCTATCCCTACCCACAAAAATGCAGAGGTGCAAATGATCCCTGTCTGCACAAGCAACTGTCTTTCTTGATAAAATGAGGACCCAGACAATTTAGCTGATGAAAACACCTACCATCCAACAACAAAAGTTGGAGAAGAAAACTGTACCACAGCACACCAAACTTAGTGAAATAGTCTTAAAAGAACATTTCTAGCTGTGAAAATGACCTTGAGTTAGAAATGTAAACACTAAGCACAGCAATAAAAAAGAAGACATGAAGCAAGATTTGACCACTGAGGAAAGATTGTTGAAAAAGTGAAAATTATGTCAGATATCCAGACAAAATTATGACACACCCAAGGAGAGATAGTCTTTTGTGACAAACAAAAAACAAGCCAGAGAATGATGAGATAACAAAAGAAATAAAAAGAGAAAGGAAAAACGGAAAAGTGGTTAAAATGGAACACAGGCAAAGAAGATCCAATTTACATATAATTGAAGTCTCAGAAGAAAAAGAAAAAGCAACGGAATAGAACATAGTATTTAAAGCTATAATGCGTTTAACACTTCTGGAAACTAAATGCATACTGACAAGGCTGTTACCATTCTTATTAATTCATTTGATCTCAAATTCTTAAAATTAAGAGTCAGAATACTTTTCTGTTTCTTTTCATCTCTGATAAAATGAGCTAATGTCTGTGAAGCTATTTAACCATTAGGCCCCTGTAGATTGGAAGCATCGACTCATTTGTGGTGCTGATGTTTTTAACCAAATCACAGGATATCTCTGTACAAGAGATATGTAGATACATATTAGACTCCCTTCTCCCGCCCCACAATGTATTAGACATTAGACAGTTGATTTAGTTTTTGTTTTGTTTTGTTTTGTTCTGGGAGAGGATACAAATAGATTACAGATGTTTTCATTTACTTCTTTTAAAATGTCTTTTATTTTATTTTTAGTGTAAAAGTAGTGGGATTTGTGAATTGTATCTGTGGGAGGAAATCACCAGGGCCAGGGGACAGGCAGTGTGCATAGCTGCGGTCATGTGCCTTCTCTGTCCCTTATCTCTTGTCCATCTCAGAGTGTAAATTCTAGTTTCTTTGCCTCCTTGCTTTGTAGAATTTCCAGTAACAAAATAATATCCATAAACACTATAGGAAATCATTTGTTTTATATTAACCAGCTTTTTCAACTAGTGGTTAACACAATCTGCATCAGAAAGTATTCTTTTTGTTTATTTAATTTTTTTTTATTTAATTTGACTGACTGAGGCTTTCATTTTATATAGGGTTTCAAAGGACCTTTTTTAATAGAAACTGAGATCACTTTTTGTTTCTTAATTTTTTTTAAAAGATTTTATTTATTTATTTGACAGAGAGAGAGATCACAATTAGGTAGAGAGACAGGCAGAGAGAGAGAGGGAAGCAGGGTCCCTGCCGAGCAAAGAGCCCGATGTGGGGATCGATCCTAGAACTCTGGGATCATGACCTGAGCCAAAGGCAGAGGCTTTAACCCACTGACCCACCCAGGTGCCCCTGTTTCTCAATTTTTAAGAAAGACTTGTGGCTGGCATTTGTTGCTAGGACTGCAAAAACAAGACTACACATTTTTTTCTGTTATATCATAGAATCTTTTTTAAAATTTTATTTATTTATTAATTTTTAATTTTTAACTTTTTCAGCGTAACAGTATTCATTATTTTTGCACCACACCCAGTGCTCCATGCAATCCGTGCCCTCTACAATACCCACCACCTGGCTCCCCCAACCTCCCACCCCCTGCCCCTTCAAAACCCTCAGATTGTTTTTCAGAGTCCATAGTCTCTCATGGTTCACCTCCCCTTCCAATTTCCCTCAACTCCCTTCTCCTCTCCATCTCCCCTTGTCCTCCATGCTATTTGTTATGCTCCACAAATAAGTGAAACCATATGATAATTGACTCTCTCTGCTTGACTTATTTCACTCAGCATAATCTCCTCCAGTCCCGTCCATGTTGCTACAAACGTTGGGTATTCATCCTTTCTGATGGAGGCATAATACTCCATAGTGTATATGGACCACATCTTCCTTATCCATTCATCCGTTGAAGGGCATCTTGGTTCTTTCCACAGTTTGGTGACCGTGGCCATTGCTGCTATAAACATTGGGGAAGAGATGGCCCTTCTTTTCACCACATCTGTATCTTTGGGGTAAATACCCAGTAGTGCAATGGCGGGGTCATAGGGAAGCTCTATTTTTAATTTCTTGAGGAATCTCCACACTGTTCCCCAAAGTGGCTGCACCAACTTGCATCCCCACCAACAGTGTAAAGAGGGTTCCCCTTTCTCCACATCCTCTCCAACACATGTTGTTTCCTGTCTTGCTAATTTTGGCCATTCTAACTGGTGTAAGGTGATATCTCAACATGGTTTTAATTTGAATCTCCCTGATGGCTAGTGATGATGAACATTTTTTCATGTGTCTGTTAGCCATTTTTGTCTTCATTGGAGAAGTGTCTGTTAATATCTTCTGCCCATTTTTTGATATGATTATCTGTTTTGTGTGTGTTGAGTTTGAGGAGTTCTTTATAGATCCTGGATATCAACCTTTTGTCTGTACTGTCATTTGCAAATATCTTCTCCCATTCTGTGGGTTCTTTGTTTTTTTTTTTTTTTTTTTGACTGTTTCCTTTGCTGTGCAGAAGCTTTTGATCTTGATGAAGTCCCAAAAGTTCATCTTCTCTTTTGTTTCCTTTGCCTTTGGAAACATATCTTGAAAGAAGTTGCTGTGGCTGATATCGAAGAGGTTACTGCCTATGTTCTCCTCAAGGATTCTGATGGATTCCTGTCTCACGTTGAGATCTTTTATCGATTTTGAGTTTATCTTTGTGTACGGTGTAAGAGAATGGTTGAGTTTCATTCTTCTGCATATAGCTGTCCAGTTTTCCCAGCACCATTTATTGAAGAGACTGTCTTTTTTCTACTGTATATTTTTTCCTGTTTTGTCGAAGATTAATTGACCATAGAGTTGAGGGTCCATATCTGGTCTCTCTACTCTGTTCCACTGGTCTATGTGTCTGTTTTTATGCCAGTACCATGCTGTCTTGGTGATCATGGCTTTGTAGTAAAGCTTGAAATCAGGTAACGTGATGCCCCCAGTTTTATTTTTGTTTTTCAACATTTCCTTAGTGATTCGGGGTCTCTTCTGATTCCATACAAATTTTAGGATTATTTGCTCAAGCTCTTTGAAAAATACCAGGTAATTTATTCAATAGAAAATGCTGGGAGAAAGAGGTAAAAATGTTAATAAGAGCTGTTCTTGGGTGGTACATTGATCTATAGTTTTTTAAAATAAATTGCATACATTTTATGTAAAAAAGAAAAGAAAAGAAAGACTTGTGGCATAAAATAGATAAGGAAGAAAGGTTCTGATGTTTTACTGCTTTTTTTTTTTTAATCACCAAACCTGTAGACTCAGAAGCGAACTCGAGAGGGAGCAAACACTGCTGCAATCTGCGAAGGAAAAATCAGGCAAGTAGTTGTGGGATGTGTCCTTCTGACCTCTGCATAAAGAATCTTCATGTCCTTGTCTGTGACTGTCTGCAATTTAGGGCTGCCTGCTATTATTCGTTTGAAACAGTTTGTTTTTTTTTTTTTTCAGAGAGCTTATTAAATTTTATTCGTGTACTTTTTTCCATCAAGTTCTTTAGAAATCCAGCAAGTTCTCATTTAATCTGAAGAGGTTAAATAAAGTACTTTAAAGGTGCAGGAGACTGTTCATCTCTGTAATCGGTCCTGTCAGGTGTGGAGATTATGACTGCTGTAGCTGGTGCTCTGCGCACCTTCGGTTTTTTAGTTTCTCTGGACATGGACACCACATCCTTCTTCTCTAAGATCTTTGTGGTTTTTAGTGGAATAACGAGTTTAGTCAAGACCTCCTGTAGAAAGAATTATGTCAAGTTTTGACCAAGACATGTGCAATAGATCCTAAGAAATTGAGCAAGTGATATACATATGGGAACAGTTCCCATGAGGGAGTGCTGAAGGACTAATCGTACCCTATAGAAAGGGTCTTGAAATAATGACAGGCTTCGGAGGGGGCTGTGGACACAACTCAGCACCCTACATGGGACTGAACCACAGCACACGGGGCTGTGGCCTCTTGTGGTTGCCAGGGTAACAGCAATGAAGACCGTCCATTCTGGATTCCAGAACCTGTGCATCTCTTTTCCCGGCTCAAAGAAATCAGTGTTCACAAAGAATACGTTTCCCAGGCTGTCCCAGTTTGTGATGTCCTCTGTCTTACAGACACATTCTGTGTTGGGTTCAGCCCCACTCCCATGGTGTGCCGGGCTGGACTCATCTCCCTGGCAGGCCATGGGGCTGGTGGATCACCCAGACCGCCAGCTTCGTTATCGCAATTCCATTAGTCTCAGCTGCCTGCCTGTTAGTTCAGGATAATGATGGTACTTCCCTCTCAGGTGCGCTGTGAGGATTAAATAAATGCAAGTGTCCATGGGAAGTAGGACCAGGGAGCTTGGCTCAGGGGAGTGGTCCTGCCCATTCCTCCCCTTCCTCATGGCTGCTTGTGAGGAAGACTACACAGTTGATGAGGATCTAATTACATCTTTGAATCCTTATGCATTAGATAAATATTAAAATTATTTTAAAATTAGATACACAGTTAAGAATATGATTAAGTAACCAAAATATGCTCTATACTATTAATGCAATGATTCAGCCAAATGCTATTTTTCTTCCAAGTTTGTTAAATACTAACTCATGCTGGAATCACTTTCCACCCACCTCAGCAACTTCTGGGGTATACTTACAGACTAACCTGTTTTAAGTTCTTAGCAGAACTTGGCCTCAAATCCCTCTTCTTACTGGGATCTTTTGTTTCCTTCTGTTACTTCTTTTCTCCCTGCAAGCAGCACTTGGGTGAGTCACCTGTTGGCCAGCTTCCAAGGGCTTCTTGTGGCCACAGTCCTGGCCTCTTTTTTTATCCGAGGCTGGTGCAGTGCTTGTCTTCTGACCCTGTGTTAGGACTTATGGGGGGTGGGCTACATCTTTCTCCTGCACCCATGTTGTGTATTCTTGGGTTCCTCCTATAGAAAAGTCATGGATGGGACTCCAGCTCCCTGTTTCCTATTTCCTTGCTGTCTCCTAACACAGCTCCACCATTTTCTTTTTCTTTTTTCTTTTCATTTCTTTTCTTTCCTTCTTTTCTTTTCTTTTTAATAGGAGTATAACTGACACAATGTTACTACATTAATTCCAGGTGTACAACTTGGTGATTTGACACATTCGTGCATTATGGGATGCTCGCCAGGAGTGTAGCTATCATCTATCCAAGTACATCACTGTTACAGTATCAATGACTGAATTCCTTATGCTATGCTCTTTAACACTGTGCCTTACTCATTCTGTAACTGGAAGCCTGAGTCTTCCTCTCCAATTCACTCATTTTGTCCATCCCTCTAGCCCCTTCCCTCTGGCAACCAAAACTTTGTTCTCTGTAGGCATAGATCTGATTCTGCTTTTTGTTTGTTCTTTTTTTTTCAAGATTCCATTTATGAGTGGAATCATAGGGTATTTGTCCCATTTTTCTTTTAGACTTAAGATCTTCATTGCTAACTGCTAACAGGATAAAACATCAGTGATTTAAAAACAATAAACAGGAAGATATTGCTAATTACTAGAACTGTAGTAAATGTTCCTTAATAGTTGATTCTAGCTGTTTCTGACATTTCCCAGCACTATCAAAGAAATCTGGTGGCTTGTGCTCATTTTCCTTTATTCTTTTCTTGAAGCTTTCTAATTCAGGAACCTCTGTATGTATGTATGTTCTGTGGAACTTCCCCCTCCTGGTACCTCAGTCTTTTTCTCTCTTTCTCTTTTTTAATATTCTATTTATTTTATTTATTTGAGAGAGACAGAGAGAGAGAGAGTTAGTGGGAGGAGAGGAAGAGGGACAAGCAGACTTCATGCAGATCAGGGAGCCCGATGCGGGGCTCAATCCCAGGACTCGAGATCATGACCTGAACCAAAGGCTAATGCTTAACTGACAGAGGCACCCAGGTGCCTCCTTCGTCTTCCTCTTTTGGTAGAAAAGGGGTAACAACTGTTGGGTCATTGAAATGGTCTTTCACTCCTTTTGGCTCCTGTGTCCCCAGGTAATTGTTGTAGGTTAAAACCTTCTGCTTAGGTTAAGGTGGGGATCACACTTCATAGTTTAACAGCTTAACCCTGGCTGTTTCTGCTTCCTTGTTTAGTTCATTGTGTGTCTGCTTAGCTAATTCCCCCAAATTTCAAAACTCATCTTCAAAGTTTTTTCTTCTTCCAAATTTGGCAAGTTGGAATGATGGCAGTGGTTTCTGTGTTGTTCCCCATGTATGGGTAAATGTTATCACTCTTTGAATTGCTTTTTTTTCCTACCAAAAAGGATTAGTTATTCTTTCTCAAAGAAATTGTCTTACCACTGTAGTCAGAATCTAACTGTGCTGTTTGATGATGAAGTTCTTTCAGCAGTGAGTTACTCTTAGTGTCTCTGTCACCTTTCTGAACCCTCCAATATTGATATTTGTTGCAACCCAACATGTCTTTGGATCAGTGCACACATCTTTCATTCCAAATCTTTTTCCTGCCCAAATCTCTTTTTTAGGCTTGAGATCCCTATATCCAATTACTTACTGGATATGGCCACTTGAGTATCCCATAGACTCCTCAACTCAGCACGTCCCCAATGAAACTCTCTGTTTCAGTGAATGGTGTCACCAAACACATGGAAGTTGAGTCAGAAAGCCTGTGGCAGAAATCTTCCCCTCCCACCACCCTTATCAATCACTTCAACACAGCTTGTTGTTAGTGGCCCAGGTGAGTTTCAAACCCAGCTCTCTTACATCTCTGCTGCATTGAATGCCCTTCCTTCCTACTGCCTCTGCTCCTTGCTGTAGCAAAGCTGAAACCTAGGTGTTATTTTGATACCTACCTGTCCTCTGCATCTGGATCCAGTCAGTTACTAAGCCTTCCTTGTTCCATTCCCTACATCTTTTTTGTATCTCTCCACTTCTCTTTATGCCTCAGGTACTAGCCTGCTCTGTTCTTGCTTGGATGAGTGTAGTAGCTTTCTGCCTGGTCGTCCTGTTCCAGCTTCACCATTTCTCATCTACTTTTGGTACTGTAGAAAGACCATTGCGTGTGCTGACCTCAGCTTAAGAGCCTTCCACATTGATTAATTTCCTAACATAGGTTACAAGACCTTTTCAGATCTCCCCCGCTTCCTTTCTAGTATTCATTGATGTCACTCCATGCCCCTCCATGTTCCCACCTTACTATATCGTTGTTGTTTTTGTTTGTTTTTGTTTTTGTTTTCTGAAATGTGCCAAGTTCTGCTCTTCTGCCCCATTCATTATCCCCTTCCCTTGTCTAACACCTTTTCACCCTTTGGGTTTCAACTTTGTCACACTTCTGCAAAGTCGTCCTTGCACCTTTCTCATGTTATGTTGGGTGCTCAAATTGGGCACTCAATAAATGCTTGTTGATTGTATAAATAAATTAGAGGAGGAATATCCCCATTCTCGGATCAGATCATTTTTATTGAGGTGCTTGGAGCTTGAGTTACATTAGATTTTATAGCTATATATAACATACATAATACTGTTAGTAATGCATAATGCTATTAATAAGAGATGATGTAATAAACAGTACTACTTTGCTTTTAAAAATCTTTCCAGAATTATCTAAGAAAGATGTAATGGATGAGGATCACCTCACTCTTATTGAGAAGGTTGAAAAGAAGAGGTGTGAAATACTTAATAAATGGGATGAAATTCAAGCTCTTGAAAGAGAAATCAAAACAACTTTGCTTCATACGGGAATTTCACATATCACTGAGAATAGGATTAAAAGCATAGAGGTATGTAATTTATTTATTTGAATGTTTACATTGTTCTTCTGCTTGAAGATGTTGGCAAACACATGAAGCAATTTCATTTTGCAGCTGGGTAAACAATAATGGAAAAATTGGTCAAAATACATTTTTGTTGCAAAACATTTGTAGCAAATGATCAGAATAATTAATACATCTAGCTAAAACAACAAAAATAAAGGTGATTAAAAATTCTGTAGAGTTCTGTAAAGGTTCCAATTGGATCTCTTTCAGGTCAATTGATGTCTCTTGAAGTTTCACAATTTTGAAGATGCTTGTCATAAAAGTCATGACCGCCAACTTTTAGTATCTAATATGTACTAATTAGATGGAGCTGAAGCTCAGAGGGTTTAAGTAACATGCCCAAGATGACACAGTTTACAGGTGGCAAAGCTGGGGTTGAAGCTTAATAATTTTGGAGCTCCAAAGCCCTTATTATTTTCATTGTGTCACACTGAAACTCCACAGTTAGATTATCAGTGAGTTGTACAATTACGTTAGAAGATAGAAATCAGTTACTACCATAGAAAGGAGAGTCTGCTGTGTTAAAAGTAGTCTTTAACAATTATCACTAACCAATTTTTGATGAACAGTGTAATGTAGATTGTAATCTGTGTTTTGAAATGTTATGCTGCCCTGCTTTTTATATGTTATAACCTGATTTTTATTTGTGTAGAATCTGACTCAATGTTACCACTTAATTACAAAGTTTATAAGTGACCTGTGATTCTTCTTCTTCTCATGGTTATATAGTTACATGTGATTCTTCTTCTTTTCATGGTTATATAGTTACATGTATTTTCCCAGCACTATCTTTTTAAAATCTTTTTTTTTTAAAGCAGAATTATAAAGTGTATAGGAAGGTGGTGATGGTTTAAGCTTATTTTGACTTCTTTCTTTCTTTTAAAATAATGCATCAGATTGCTTCTGTTTTTTGTTTACAGTCTGTTCTTATTTATTTATTTAAGATTTTATTTATTTATTTGAGAGAGAGCACGAGAAGGAGAATGAGTGAGAGCACATAAGTGGAAGGAGGGGCAGAGGGAGAGGGAGAAGCAGGCTTCATGCTGAGCACAGAGCCCCACGTGGGGATCCATCCCATGATTCTGAGATCCTGACCTGAATGGAAATCAAAAGTCGGATGCTTAACCGACTGAGCCACCCAGGTGCCCGTGGTTTTGTTACACTTGATATTTGTTACTTGATCTTAGCCAAAAGGCCGAGAAGTGATTGCCCCTGATATTTGTATTTTATCTTGTATCCAGCCACCTTAACAAAGTCTGTTATTAATTACAAAAATTAAGGAACTTCTTTAGAGTTTCCCTAAAATTCTCTGGGTTTTCCTAATATCAACCTTTATCTCCTGTAGTTTTTGACCTAGGAGGCTACTGATCTCTCTTTGCCTCATGTCCTTTAAGTCATGCTCTGTTTATTCATCTGTTTTTTAAATGGTGTGCTCTTGGGTACTTTTGAAATTAGAATAACATTGTTTACATAATACTTTTTGCCCCATAAATGGGGAGAAGTATTTAACAAATATTCTTAACCAAGCATCTTACTTTTAAAACCATTTCTTCTTCAGACTGAAGCTATAAAATTGGAAACAGCAAACAGAATTTTAAAGAAGAAAATGCATGTAAGTATTTATGAATTAATGTTTTTCAATAGGAATATTTCCTTTATTGATGTGTGTGTGCTTCTTGTCCTAAACAAAATAAGAATATATACATTATTTTTCTAAATAACTTTCTGTAGTGCTGAGAATATCTCACTATGCAGACATTAGCTTAAAACTGGACATGTATAAGCTAACGTATTAATGAAAAAAATAAACATCCTTTGTAAATAGCTGAATATGCCGATCAGAATTGACTTTTTCTCTAACCCTTGCACATGTAACAGGAGTTGTAATGAGTTATCTGGTAACAGGGAATATAATGAATTGGTTCTCTAATGATTTTCAGGATACCCTTCCAGAACACACACTAACAATTTGCTGCTTAACAGATTGTAATTCTGCTTCAATTGGATATGTATATCCCTCTGAATTATATACAACATACATTAATATGTTGTGCCTGGTTCTAGAAGTGGTATTCAATTTTGATTCAATCTTCTTATCAGATAAGGTCAGTCTCATGCCATTACACATGCCCAAATGATTTTGGTTCTGCAGGTTATTGAAAGCCAGGTGAAGCAGACCATGGAGAAGAGTAAGATGAGTGAGGAGGGGCAACGGTAAGTGTTGATGACGTGATAAAAGAAGTGAGGCAATTTCACGCTCTCCTCAAAACCGTCCACTCAGATCTGCATTAGACAGGACAGTGCTCTGAATGTTTATATTCATGAGTGTTTACTTTAAATATATATGTTATATTCTTTCCTGGGCTCAAGAATTCTTAGCCCAAGATTTAAATCTTAATCACTATATATTACTTGGCAATGTAGAAATAAATTCTTTGGAAAGAACTGAAGAATTGAGGGTAATTTCTCACAGGCAGGGATCAGGAAGGTGGGGAGATGGTGACTGTGGTGACTTTCCTTTCTCAAATTATATGGCTTTTAGTGACATTAAATTTTTGAAGAATGCTGTGCATTTATTACTCTGATAGTTTTTTTTTTTTTTTAGATTTTATTTATTTATTTGACAGGCAGAGATCACAAGTAGGCAGAGAGGCAGGCAGAGAGAGAGGAAGGGAAGCAGGCTCCCTGCTGTGCAGAGAGCCCGATGCGGGGCTTGATCCCAGGACCCTGGGATCATGACCTGAGCCGAAGGCAGAGGCTTAACCCACTGAGCCACCCAGGCGCCCCCTGATAGTTTTTTTTTATTATGTTATGTTAGTCACCATACAGTACATCATTAGTTTTTGATGCAGTGTTCCAAGATTCATTGTTTGCATATAACTCCTAGTGCTCCATGCAACACGTGCCCTCCTTAATACACATCACCAGGCTCAGCTATCCCCCCGCCATTTCTCTCCCCTCTAAAACCTTCAGTTTGTCTCCTGTAGTTGATAGTCTCTCATGGTTCATCTCCCCCTCTGATTTCCCCCCTTCATTTTTCTCTTCCTTCTCCTAATGTCCTCCATTCTATTCCTTATGTTTCACAAATAAGTGAAACCATATGATCATTGACTCTCTCCACTCTGACAATTTTAATTTAAAAATGAAATGGCTGATTTATAGTATCAATTACATAAACTTAGCTTTATATAGTTAATTTTCTTAGAATTGGTACTACAGTTCACATTTCAGGATTTGGTAAGGCTGGGAGCAACAGAAAACCATTGCTGGTTTAAGTATGGAAAGTGCTAATTTGTAACAACAGTTAAAAGACATTTAGTTGTAGGTGGCCTCAGTTCAATGATAATATCAAGGAACCAGTATCTCCTTTCTTCTTTGTTTTCCTCAAGTATGGTTTTCCTCCTGGAGGCCTCAGTGTGACTATCTTCAGGCATGGGTCCACATCCCATAGAGAAATAAAGGGGAAAGGGGAAGACAAAAGGCAAAGAGCTTCTCATCCAGAGACTTTTCTGTTTTATTTAGAAGGGGAAGTGCTTTCAGGGACTTACAACCATATCTCAGCGCCCAGAACCATGTCCCAAGACAATCCTTAGCCACAAAGGAGTCTAGGAAATAGTACACTCTACTTTCTAGCTCACGTGGTAGAGAGAGTCACTGGAGAACAGTGGTAGAATGCTGACTGAGTGAACCACACAGGTGGGTTGTATTATGTTGGGTGTCCTCAAAGAAAAGAAGATAGAATTACAAATACAAAATTGGGAAGGCTCCTTCCATAGTTTTGGCAATGAGAGTGGATGGACCTAAAGTTTAAACATCATTATCTCCAAGATAAATCTACATCTGCTGCCTCACTATACTTAGTCTGGAAAATACTGCAGGGGATTGTGTCCAAACACAAGGAGAATCTTTGCTACATTCCAGGCCAAAATTCTGCAAGAAATCCTTTAAAATGGAAGTGGAAAATTACAGAGTCTCACTTTGTGTTTTTGAGTAATTATGTCTTAAATGTTTGTTTTAAAATTTTCTCTTATGCTTGAGGCATTTTTGTCTAATCTATTGTGTTCACTTGTGTTTAAGGAATCTTTGGGATTTTATTAAAGAATTTGTAAACTTAAAGGAAACAGAAACTAACTCAAGTGATTGGAAAATGACCTATGAAAATTCATAGCCACCATGTGCATAGCACGAATGTTTGCAGATTTATAAATTAATGAAGATACATCTCGTTTTGTCAGTTTTAATCTCTAATAAAGTTAATGTAGTATATGTATCCTACTCAAGATATTGGAATAAATACATGTGTGCATGTGATTAGTTTTCCTTTTGTATACATATTCATAGCAATAGTAGTTCTTAGAGTATTTTCTGCTTTCCTTCAGTAATTTCCTTCGAGGAAAAATATTTTCAATTATTTGATCGGAATTAGAAATTCAGCACTGCTACAATACAGATCAAATATGTTTCTTATTTGCCAATGCAAGTTTATATATAAACATTTAATGTAGCAATCATAGAATTAACATTCATAAACTAAATAATCTTTACTGATTGTAAGTGATGCAGTGCTCTGAAAGGTTACAGCACTGGCATGGTGCTTTGCAATACATGTGGGTCTTGACGCATTGTGAGCTTGATGACAACATTGTGACTCGGATTTTTTTTTAAAGATTTTATTTATTTATTTGTCAGATGGAGAGAGAGCGAGAGAGCGTGCACAAGTAGGCAGAGTGGCAGGCAGAGAGAAGCAGGCTCCCTGCTGAGCAAGGAACCTGGTGCAGGACTCGATCCCAGGACCCTGGGATCTAGACCTGAGCTGAAGGCAACAGCTTAACCCACTGAGCCACCCAAGAGTCCCGAGAGTCAGATTTTTTTAATGCCCACTTTGCCTATAATCTAGTCTGAGCTCTTAGAACAAATACAAGTCCAGTTTCTTTGGATAGCCATATACAGAGCCGTGGTGAGGATCAAAGGTAGGGGTGAAGTACACGAGAGACTTGATCCCAACGTGGAAGAGTAGAGTTTGAGCTCAGGGTGAGAGAGGGGTGGTGTGTGTGTGGGATGAATGGGTTTTGCTTCCTATGGACTGGGAGGTCAAGGTCAGCGTAGTGTATTCATCACAGCTCTGTTCAAATCTAGTAGCTCTTCCTGGGGCAGGAGTCATCCTGCTTTTAGAGATGAAGCTGCAAATGTCACCCTATATAGAAATAAATTGGGCTTTATTCATGTTTGTTTAATTCTTTAAGTTCAAGTTGCCTTCTATTGGTTATTCATGTTGGCTGGGATCTTTTTAAGTAAGCACCATTATTTCCCATCATACAGCGGAGAGAATAAAAATGTGAAGGGTGAATTGATTTGTTTAAACTACACTGTGAAAACCAGAGCAGGAATCCAATCCCAAATTTGGTGTGCACAATTCCTAGAGTTTGACCACTGCATTATGCTGTGCCCTTTATGTGTATCACTGGTCAAGATCTAGGGAAACACGTTTATACATTGTGGTGATGTAAAGACTGCTAGGAGTAAGAAGAAACAGACTAACAATCAAAGCCGAATTTACTTGCTTGTTGAGCAATGGATGGCCATTGACTCGAGGGGCAGGATTCAGGGATGATCTGATTAGAAAGGAGGGTAGGCTGGATCCAGAGGCAGAAGGGCATGCTGGTCTGTTTAGGGGCCTGAGTGGATTCCCTGGGGAGGCGAACGGGGGCTGGAAGGTCCCTTTGTTGTTTGGTCTTTATTCTGGTGTCACAAAAGCACTGTTTTCGAAGAGATGTGACATCGGTTGTAATCAGACCTTGTCAAGATCAAACTCTTGTGGCTGGCACTTTGTTATGGCTATTCTTTGGATTGGTAAACTTTTCACTTAAAAGTAATATAAGTAGTCCCAGCAGTCATTTGTGTATTTAAGCAACATTCATTAGATCAACTTCAGGTACATTTCAGATGGTTGCTGCTTGCTGGAAGTATGGAAATGAAAACATGGCCAATGGGAGGGGGAGATGAGCCATGAGAGACTGTGGACTCTGGGAAACAAACAGAGGGTTTTGGAGTGGAGGGGGGTGGGGGGTTGGGTGAGCCTGCTGGTGGGTATTATGGAGGGCACGAATTGCATGGAGCACTTGGTGTGGTACATAAACAATGAATTCTGGAACACTGAAAAGAAATTTAAAAAAAATTAAAAAAAAAAACACCCCCAAACATGGCCCCAATCTTCAAGGAGCTGATAGTTGTTTGTTGTACAGACTTGTGAAAAGAATGCCAACAGCTAAAAAGAAAGCCGATAAAACTAAAGGATACAAGGATGTGGGTAGGTACACTTTTGCCCACTGCCGGAGCAAGTGCAAATCGACAGGAATGGTTGGGAGGTAATTTGGCAACAAGCTCACTGAATACCTGTGTTTTCCCAGAATCTTGCAGAATCATGCCTGCTGGCATGAGGGTTATGTAGCTTGTTTGAGCTGATGTGGGATGGTTGTGATAACACATGACAGGAAGGGTGAGCTCTGGAGAGATCAGCTTATTTGTAGAAAGAAATAAAGAGGAATACAGAGAAACAAAAATGTGACTTCTCAGTGTGGGAAAAGATGACTGATTTCAGTTTACAGATTTAAGAGATGAAGTTTTAAAAAATCTACAGGCAGATTATATGTCTGAAAGTAAAGAATGCATTACAAGTGTGGCCTTTTCATCAAAGCCCATAGCCTCCTGTCTGAATGGACAATTAGGGATGAGCCATGAGGAGGAGAAAGGAAGGAGATCTGAGAGCAGCTCTAAGCAAACCGTGGGCACATGGAACTGACTGGAAGCAAATGGATTGGAAGGGCACTGAGTTTTTGAGGGAGTTTGATGATTACAGGCTATCAGGAAACCAAGGTAAGTGAGTCCATTGCCGCTCAAAAGCTTTAACAGCCCTGGGTCCCATGAACAACCACGAAGAGCAGAAGGCAGGCTGAAGAATCCATATACCCCCTAAGAGAACGTAGTCCCCTAAGTCCACTTCAGATGCGCCCGAGGAGGGCAAAGGACGGCCAAACCAGTGATAAGGGCAATGAACAAGAGCTCCGATCCGAGGCTGTCAGACTTCACCCTGCATCTTGGTCTTCTCTGTAGGGCTTCGGGACTGCTACAGACCATGCACTGTGGTGTGTGTCCTCACCTTGGTATGAACATCCACTCGTAAATGTATGGAAATTATCTTGGTTCTCAAAGGATGGAAAAAAAGCTGTGTATCCTTTAGGGATCTTGGACTTTGAGCTGGATGTGGTGACGGGGGGGATCTGTCTCCCTTAGAGAGGATGGCACTGTGTTTTATGCAAAGAAATAGGTGAGCAAAGGGATTTCTTAATCAGAATGTGGACCATGAGAGAGATATTTCTCTACTGTAGAAGTTGTAAAGACTTGTGTTTCTTCCAGGTGGTGAGGCTGCTGGGACACTGGGTCTTCTGTGTACCTAGTTCTTAAACAGAGCCCACTATTTTGGACACAGAACATGTGTAAGACATAAACTTTGTCAGATCAGGCCAGTGGAGAGCAGGGTTGACTCATTATTGCGACATGACCTAGTCTACATCGATTTACTGTGTTTACCTTAAACAAGCTCATGTGCACATACCTAAGGAAGCTTCTCTTCCCCATTTTCTCTTGTTCTTTATCTTGTCCTGTCTATCATCCATCCGTCTATCATCTATCTATCTATCATCTATCTTCCTATCTACCTAGATATTTAATCTATTGATGTTCACCCAATAACCCTGATACTAGAAAATAGAAGCAGCATCATTTTTTTTCTGAGTAGGGTAGTAATGGTGCTGTTGGTCATCTTTAAATGGAACACTATAAAGCAGATAAAAGAAATAGACCCACATACATCGACATGAGTAAATAGCAAAACTGTAATGTTGGGTGAAAAAAGTAGTTTCAGTAGAGTACATAATGGTAGTATTATTAATATAAATATAAAATTAAACATCCATTGGTATGAAATTCACTAATTCTAGGACGTTGATTAACTGTAGGGAAAAGAGGAGAGGGAAAAGAGAAGGCTCAGGTTGGCTTTAATATTTCAGTAGTATGTATGGTGTTTTATTTCTTTTAAAAAATATGAAGCATTATATGTTAATAAAAAAAGAAAAAATATGAAGCAAATATTCTGATATCTTAATGTATGTTTAATATTGATAGTAGATTCATAAGTATTATATTTTCTATAAATTTCTATAAGTACTATGCTAACCCTTGTTAAACACTTATTATATGCTAGACAATATTCTATGCATTTAACCTAGATTCTTTTAGTTCCCACGTGATCTTACATGGTAGGTTACAGTTATTATTTTACAGATTAGGAAATTTCTTATTTAAATTTTTAAATTTTAATTTAAAATTTAAATTTAGGGGCACCTGGGTAGCTCAGTCAGTTAAGCATCTGCCTTTGGCTCAGGTCATGATTCCAGGGTCCTGGGATTGGGCCCCACATCAGACTCCCTGCTTAGCGGGAAGCCTGCTTCTCTGTCTCCCACTCCCCCTGCTTGTGTTCCCTCTCTTCTTGTGTTTCTCTCTGTGAAATAAATCAATAAAATCTTAAAAAAATAAATTTAATTCCAATTTAAATATAGTTTAAGAAATAATGAATGCAATAATTTATCATGGGGCTGTGGCATAAGTATTTATAAATGATATAAGGAAAGTACAAAGATGAGCTCACAGAATTCAATACTATTCATGGGGGAGAAGGGACAGAAAGGCCAAATAAACTTTGCAAGTTATTTTTTACCATTAAGTTTACATGTGTGGAGTGGTGATTCGAGGTAAGAGAGAACCATGTGAGTGAAAGAGCAAGTAGACTGGAATTGGTGCAGACATTGCTGGTGGCAATGGTGCTGCTGGTAAGAGTGGTGGTGGTCATGATGGTGGTGCTGGTAATGGTGGTGATGATGGTGATGGTGGTGGTGGTGGTGATGGTGGTAATGACAATGGTGATGGTGGTGATGATTGTGGGATGGTGATGGTGGTGATGATGGTGATGGTGGTGATGATTGTGGGATGGTGATGGTGGTGGTGGTGGTGGTGGTGGTGGTGTTGGTGGTGGTGGTGGTGGTGGTGGTGATGGTGCTGGTGATGATGGTGATGGTGGTGATGGTGGTGATGGTGGAGATGATGGTGGTGATGGTGATGGTGATGGTGGTGGTGCGGGTGATGGTCCTGGTGGTGGTGGTGATGATGATGGTGATGGTGGTCATGGTGGTGCTGGTGCTGGTGATGGTGGTGGTGAT